AATAATTATTTTTAATCACTAATTTATCACAAATAATCCATGCTTCACAATTCAATCACCAACATCAACCAAATAATAAATTCCAATCAAAACCTATCATGATACTATTTGGAATTAATTATTCAAACCTAGCATGTTCCTATATCACCAAATAAATACCAAGTACGCGAACGTACCTTGAATACGATCTTATAATCGCCACGACTATATGAAATCACTCACTTGAAAGTCTCCTACAATCCAAAATTACAAAGAGACATTACTACCTATTCAATATAAATTTCCAGCATTATATACACTCTTTAAATCACTCATAAAACCTCTAAAATAGGCTGAAATTTAATTTTAAACCCTTACTTTTATTCCCAATTAATGGGTAATTAAAAATCCTTTCAAGAAACTTAATTATAGCTTATATACAAAAATTCCAGCTTTATTAAATCACTTATAATTGCTGTAATTATGTTTTAAAACCCTCAAATCAAAGGTTTAAACCACCCTATATCATATTCCTTTAATATTCAATTATTTACAAACCTAGGGTTTCAAATTTGGGGCTTTTTAATTAAAATTAAAATCTGAAAATTTATTTACACCATACTTAAAATCAAACATCACAACATCATCACAAAACCCATAATTAATAATTAGATTTAGGATTTAAAACAAAAGAATAAAAAAAACTTCGTTAAAAATAAAAAACTGCCCGAAAATCATATTTAGAGGCTGAATTTGGCCACGAAAGGGTTGTTCTTTCTACCATAGGTAATGAGCCTTTATTAACACATTGTTTCCACATGGAAAACACTACTTATTTTTTTTTTATCAAAATCGGATGAGTTCAGAACTTGATCGGGATTAAAATGGGATTTTTTTTTTTGTGTGTGTGTCGCCGGACAACAGCCAGCACCACAGCCGGCTGCTGGTGGCGCGGTGGCCCATCGGTGGTGCGGTGGTGGCTCGAAAAAAAAATAGAGGGGAAGGGGAAAACAAAGGAAAAGAAAAGAAAAATAAAGGAGAAGGGAGAGAAAATTACCTTGGGTATTCTTCACTCTGGGCAAAGTTTAATTTGCCCATTTGTTGAATATTTATACCCCTTTTCTCTAGAATCCCTCCTACCCTTGAATTCCTTTTCTATCCTTACTAATCCCTTTCCTAATAAAACTTGACTTTTTTTTTTATAAAATCTTCCTTTTATAAAACTTTCCTAAAATAATCCCATCTTATTAAAATAATTAATTAAACAAAACTTTCCTTTTATAAAATATTTCAAATTTATTAAATAAATAATTAAAATGCCATGATAATTCATTTCGAGTTATTTAAATACTTTACAAAAATACTTATTTAATTTAAAATATGTATAAAAATACGGGGTATTACATGAATACCCTAGATAATGGAGGGATGTTGAACTGATGGTTTATGGAGTCAAATAGCACAATTTGGTTCTTTCAAATTTGGTGACATTCTTAGGTAGACAGTTATTGCTTACTATTATTAGCTAAATGTTGATGCTTTCGTAGTTAGATGTGTAGATTTCGTGTTTCGCTAGGATGTGTAGTGCTTGCAACCAAGGTATGGAATCAGTTATATCTACATAATATTGCTAAAATGCAAATTAATTCCGTATATAAGTCGGTTTAAAAACTATTTTCCACATTATCGTACATATAGGATTAGTTCTAAAGCTTGGAATTTGCCAGTATAAAATTGCTAACAATGTATATAGAACCACTAATACCATTAAAGGTTCTATGCATATAACCTATAATGTCATTAGCGGTTCTTATTTGAAGCTACCTCATTTACTTAAGCTTTCAATTATGCCAAATTACATACATAGTACCACTAATGATAAAACCAAATTATTTAGAATCACTAATGGTATTACCGATTATATATATAGAACCGCTAATACCATTACCTCTAATACCATCAAAGGTTTTATAGTTAGAACCGCCAACAATGTTAGCGGTTTTATGTTTGCAAGTAACGAATCTTGAAACCGAGCCTACGTCAAGAGCCTACGTGGATGTTATTGTGAGAAATACTCCATATGTTTCATAATAATCGCAACACTTTCTTTTTTACATCCATTTCATAATAATTGCAACATTTTTTTATTTGGGTAAGGATCCATTATTATCTTATTACTTTTCTCTCCTACTAACCCCTCACTTACACTACTTTTTTTTTTTATTATTATTTTTCTTTCCTAATATAAGTAGCAATTTAAATATCTCAATATGCTTTATACCAAGTATTATAAAATTCATCTTTTGATCTTACTTTTTAATTCTCCTAAAAACCAATGTATTATGTATATAATTTCTTTAAAAAAAAAATGTTAGTCCTATATGGAATCAATCACATAAAATAAGAAAAGAAGAATATTTGGAATATAACATTAAAGTACAAATAATTCATAATTAGTTTACCTTATTTAAGTTTTTTGATTCTTTTTTTTTTTTTGGAAAAACATAAGTCATAATGCATAATTTAAGGTAGAGATTTCCTTACTTAGAGCCATGTCATCAATCCACAATCAATTAATTCCAAAAAAATTAAGTTAAAATTGGAGCATATTCTATATGGGTAGATCTTTTTAAAACGCCCAAAATAGTATATGAGACTAACATTATGAAACGAAGGGAGTATTGTATAAGGAATTTATTTATGTTATTACGTTATGTTGTTCTTATCTATTTGGAAAATTGGATAATTACCACCACCTATTATAGTTCACGTTTTAGTAATTACCACCTATAATTATTTTTAGGAAAATTTGTCCAGGATAACCTTTTAAAAGACAGTTTTTGTCTAGGACAACCTTTTAATTTTTTTTTGGCAAAGGCAGACCCTATTATAATTTTTTTTGTTAACAACAACCAACTCCCACTTTCAGGCGTTGACCCACCGGAATCCGGCGTTGACCCTCACGTGACTTGCACGTGACCCTTATTTCTCCTAATTGCACCCTACCATCGTACCACCATCATCATTAGCCACACCATCATCACCGACCACCATAAGAACCACCGCACCAGACCACCAACACCATGAACACCTTCAGCACCAGACCACCAACACCAAGGCCACCATAAACACCTTCGACATCGCACCATTACAACCACCAACCTTCTTCATCTTCTTTACCGCCGCCACCACCACCAGCCGCATTATTCTTTGTCTCAATTAAGGATCTCTGATTGACACGAAAGAGAGAGAATTGGGTGTGCAATCTTAGAAAAAACAACGGATTTCGATCAGATCTAAAGCTAGGGTTGGTATTTTTGTGGTGGATTTCGATTTGATGCGGTCTACGAGGGAGGGTGAGTGAGGCCGGTAGGTTGAATTCCTGTCATGGGTTGGCTTTTATTTGCTGCGAGGAGGGTGAATGTGGTGCTTGGTGGTGGGGTTTTGGATCCAAATTTCGCTGGTGGTATGGTTTCGGTGGTGGTGGGGTTGCGGATTTCGCTAATGGTGGGTTCAAGGTGGAGTTTATAGTTGTGGTGGTGGTGGTAGCCTGGTAGGGGTGGTGGTTCGAGTGAAGTACAAACAGTGGTGAAGGGGTGTTAACGCCGGATTCTGGTGGGTCAACGCCTGAAAGTGGAGGTTGGTCGTCGTTAACAAAAAAAAATTATAATAGGGTCTGCCTTTGCCAAAAAAAATTTAAAAGGTTGTCCTAGACAAAAACTGTTTTTAAAAGGTTGTCCTAGTCAAATTACCACCAACATTTTTCTAAAACATCAAAAATTACCACCTCTTTGCTCAAAGCCTCATGTATGACGTCACTTGGGCCCCACTCCTTACTTTTCCCTCTTCTTTTTCCTTCTTCTTACGATTTTCCCTTTTTTATTCATCAAATTTGGGCAAAAATCTAAAATTGAAATATGAAACATAAAATTAGGGTTTCAAAAATCATTCTTCTTGCTTCAATACTCAAAATGCAATCAAGGAAAAAAAGTATGTTTTGTTGTTTTATGCTTTGGAAAACTTAAATTAGGGGTTTTGAAATGAAATTAGGGGTTTTGAAATGAAATTAGGGTTTTGAAATCAAATTGGGGATTTGATTTGAGTGAGGCATTTGGAGAAATTAACTCAAATTTCTTGAATTTGACGTTATGATTAACAAAATTATGTTTGTCATTTATGTTAAATTTACCAAAAGCAATAAAAAAAACCCAATTTACCTAGCTTTTTGCCCAATATGCATGAGTTTGAAAGCAATAGATTTCCTAAGCTTGGTACCCCTCCATTGTTGTCTTTGTTGTTCATTTTTGGTCCCTTTGTGTTCTTTTACGGTGAAATTACTAATTGAATGATAATTTTTGAAAAAAAAATTACCCAAAAAAATTGAAAAGGAAAGAGGAGAGAGAGAGGGCAGTTTGAATCTAACTTGTGAGGAAAAAATGATGGATTAGCATCACCAAAGGGAATTAAAGAAGAAAGAAAATGGAATTGAAAGAATAGAGAAGGGGAAATTGAGAGGAAAAGGGAAAAAGGAGGGAAATTGTAGGGTATGACGTCATGCATAAACGTTTGGGAAAAGTGGTGGTAAAATTTAAGGTTTTGAATAATTGTTGGTGGTAAAATAAAATAAAAATAATTGTAGGTGGTAATTACTAAAACATGAACTATAGTAGGTGGTAATTATCAAATTTTCCTATTTATTTTTATAAAACTTACTTAAAACCTTTTTTTATTTTTTAGGAAAAATTGCCCGGAATAATCCCACCTTTGGGCCGTTCGCTAAAAATAATCCCACCTTTGCTTTATTTTTAAATAATCCCACCTTTACCCCCCGATCTTTTTTAATGGTCCTATTTTACCTGGAACCGGTTGAGTAGGTAAATTTTTTTTTTTCAAAAGTTTAATTTACACGTGTCGTTACTTAATTGGTAAAAAAAAAAAAACAAAAAAAAGTAAAAAAAAAAAAATTAAAAAACCACCATCGCCACACCAATTCAGCCATCACCATCCCCACCACCACCCAAACCTAAACCCTAGAAGCACCATCCCACCAGACCTGAAACCACCGCCACCTAGAAGCTGACCGCGCTGACGACCGGAATCCCACCCAACCAACCCAACCCCAAAACCCCATTAACCCAAACCCAGCCAACCTCAAAACCATTCGAAAACCAACCAAACCAAACCCGACATTGGGTTCGACGCAAATTCAGGGCAGGGAGTTCGATGCGGCTTGAATCGGGGGATGGGGGAGGTCAGCGACGTCGGAATCGGGGGATGGGGTTGGTTAGCAAGGTCGAAATTTGGGGGGGGGGTGGCTGGATTCTTGGGACAAGCTAAGGGAGTTTAACGGCCGGATTCCTGGGACAAGGGAGTTCGCGCGTGGCCGGATTCCTGGGACAAGGGAGTTCGACGACCGGATTCCTGGGACAATGGAGTTTGGCGGCAGGATTCTGGGAGGTCGGCAGCTGGGAGTGGCGGCAAGGTTGGTGGTTTGGCTGGTGGGTGTTTTTAAAATTAATTAATTAATTTTTGTAACTTTTTTTTTAATTTTATTATTTAGACCAATCAGGTGCCAACACGTGTCAAACAACTTGCTATAACAAGTTAACTGGCTGGTTGGGACCATTTGAATAAAATTGGCATGAAAGGTGAGATTATTTAAAAATAACTCAAAGATGAGATTATTTTTCGCGGACGGCCCAAAGGTCAGATTATTCCGGGCAATTTTGTCTATTTTTTTTTAAGGAAGCTTAAACCTTTGAGGAATCTTCTCATTTGTAAAGTGTTGCAGCGTGTAATTGATGAGTTTCAGAAAAAAAAGAAAAATTGATGAGTTTAAGAAAAGTTTAGTTGCATCCCCATTCCAATTTACACAGATCCAATTTTAAACCCTAAAAAATCCACCAATTTTCCCCCTAATTTCTTCTTAACATTTTAAAATCCGAAACACAATTCAAAACGAAACGTTATCAATGGTGACAAAAAGTTGAAGAATTCAGAAGAAAGAAAGAATTCAGGCGAAATGGACGTTCGAAGGGATGAAGAACAAAGTGAGAGAATACGGAGTTGTAGCAGATGCATGGTTAAAGGTGACAAAATGTGTTACCAACATATTGTTTCATATTTATTTCCAGTAATTAAGAAGCATAATTCTCCTGAATCTGGAAAAATCGAAGAAAAAAGTTACCTGAAATTAACCCCAGTTCAATTTAATGGGGATTTTGTTGAGAATAAGAAAAATGAAGAAGAAGAGAAAGAGGGGAATCATGGTGATGTAAAAGAGGTTGAGGAAAATGAGTGCACACCAAGTGTTTGTGAAAATGGCTCTGAGAGAGAAGAGAAAAGTCCGCTGGAGATAACACTTACGAAACTTAAGGAGAAGCTTGTTAGAAGTAAGAAAAAGGAAGAGGAAGAAAGTGCGCGGAAAATTTCAGTAAGAGGGAAGAAAGGGAGAGGTGAGGAGAGAGAAATTGGGATTTCCCGGGTTAAGTTTCGAAAGATTGAGGAGAAAGTTGATGACTTTGCTCATAGTAATGAAGGGCTTGGTAGTGTGGTTGAGGGGAAACTGCGGAATGAGGACGACGAAGACGATGGTGATGCATTGTTTGAGGATGATTCTCAACAAGAGGAAGAAAAACAGGAAGATGAAGAAATAAAGAAGGGCACACCAGGTGTTTGTGAAAATGGCACTGAGGGGAGTAAACACAAGATTGATAAAGTAATTGGAATGACTGGGTTTCAGTTTCCCTTGCTTTGAATTTTCTTTGCTGTACTGTTTTCTGACCATTTTTTTTCCTTCTCTTGGCCAGAGGATTAAGATTGACTCGAGCGTGTGTCATCAGTGCCACAGGGGTGACAAAGGAAGAGTTATTAGGTGCTCCAAATGCAAGACCAAACGGTTTTGCATTCCTTGCATCACAACCTGGTCTGTCTTTCTGTTTTTGATGTTCATTGTGCTTGTTCAATAACATGGTTGAACTTATTATAAAATAGCAAGTGTACTTGAAAATTAACTTTATATCATTGTGCTGATAAATACCAAACTTTCACTTGTTCTGTTGTATGTTGAGGACATTGTCATGTACTTGAGTGTGATGCGGTATAAATTTTATTCATATTTACCCCTTCTGAATTTGTTGTATAACTTCCTACTTGCTGCGATATTCTTAGCTACTACCTCTGCCTCTTATTATGTTCAACAAAGCTCTAGACATGGACTTCTAGGCAAAATTTGTTTGTGAGTGATAACTGGAGATAGAAAGCTAGACATGCATGTGATAAGGAGTGAGATAGAGAAATGACAACTTAAAATGGAAAGAAAACATTTGTTGCACATAGTGGGTAACATACGTTTTTAGTATATGTTAGATATAATATGAAACAGAGGTAGTATTTACTTTGCATAACTAGTGATTGTTCCGGATTGTTACAAATAGTAAAATTTTGTCTATTGAGGAAAATAAATTAAATAAATATAACTCCACAAAGTGTTGGAGTTAAAAAAAATGTTAACTGCTTGTGTAAACTTTTTAAAGAGATATGCTTATAAGACATTTTTATATCTTATTTTGAAATATTTAAAAAAATGTTATATTAGATTGGTGTTTTGGACTTCAAAAAAAACATGGTTAAGTTTTCACTTTTCATTTCAAAAGGTCATGTGTTCGAGTTTTTTCTAATTGAGGGGTCATGTGGAAATTTGACGCTTTTCAATACAATACGAAGTAGCATAGGTATAGATTGTTTGCTTTGCTCAGCTAGGTTCTTTGTATTGTCTATTCTATTGGTTAAAATTGTTCATTACTAATAGCTGTTTCTGCTTTATGCAATTGCTCTTTATTCTCTATCGACAAGATAATGTAGCATATGCTGTCAAGTTATAACCTGACTCTTTTAAGATGAGCGCCATAAATGCCTACCATACATTAACTGTAGAGCAACTCCTATTTGTGCTACCGTGCACTGTACTCCCCCCCCCCCCTCCCCTCTTCCGTTACCTTTTATTAAATCATCTCATTTAACGGCGTTGGTGTCTTTTTTCCAGTAGTACTGTTTTCGAAATATAATAATAATAAAAAAAGAATTCCAGTAGTATTATGGCTTTTGATGGAAAAAAGGATGTTAAAATCCTCTTGATGATTTTGTGGACCAGGTATCCACAGATGACCGAAGAGCAGATTGCGCTGGCTTGTCCAATTTGCCGTGGGAACTGCAACTGCAAGGCATGTCTGCGCATGGAGGGACCTTTCAAAGTGTGATTTTCCTCTCTTTATCTCAGTGAGATGTTTCTTTTTGCTGTATTATTTTACTTACAGAATTCATGGGTTGACATTTTTTTTATAGAATCAGGTGAAGGATGGATATAATATTAGCCTAGAAGTAAAGATTGACCACACCAAAAATCTGTTGAGGACTATTCTGCCATTTCTAAAGCAATTTAATCAGGAACAGATGACAGAAAAGGAAATAGAAGCCATAATTCAGGGTATTGTTTCATGTTCTCTTGTACGATGGCATCATATCTTTTCTAATTCACAGTTGCCTTTATGTGCATGTTGATCACTTTTGTTGATTTCTTGCAATTTGATTTAGATGCACATTTTAAAATGACTTGATGTGAGAACCATTTCCTTGTGTACCAGCAGATGAACGATGCATAATTGCATAGTATTTTGTCACTGAAATCTGATTTTGCTATTAATTATTTTTGGGAAGTTGACTCCAATATCTTGCGCAGAAGTACTGGGTTTATCTTCTGTTTTGTCAATGTATCTACCCATGTGTAATATAACTACAAAATCTGAAAACTCTGACATCTCATATTCTGGGTATGATCTGTTTCCAGCATGTCGCTGTGATGACTAAATAATTGATTATTATTCCTCATAGTATTTTAATTGATAATGTTTTTTTTTTGGTGTTTCGACTTTTGCAACTCTTTGAAGAAGATAAACATTGTTGAACGAGATTTTTTGTGGATAATTGCAGCCTAAATTTTCATGTGGATAATAATGTTTGGAACTAGGTGGACGTGTAGTGAAATATTGCTAGGGGGATCATAGAGTTTTTTCTGTGCACTCTAAATATTGACCCGTGCATTTATTATGATTTTTATCTACCTGCTATTGTCTGTTCCCAGTTGCTTATTCATACAATCATACTTGTATTGTGTGTGTGTGTGTGCGGGCGCGTGCGTGCGGTGCATGTGCGTGTATGTGTAAAACTTTGGACATTAATATTGTCAGTTTGGTTTTAGTAAAAGTTATAAAATTTGATATTTGAAAAGCATAAATCAAAACGAGTATTTTTTTCTTACATATAAAACACAAAAGATGGTCAAAGAGGGATACGTGAATAGCGAATAAATCCAAATGGAGCTATTAAAAAAAAACAGATGAAGTTTTTTTTTAATGAATTCTAGGTTATCATCTTGTGGTTTCAAATTCCCATGTATACCCCAAAAATTGGCTCGACAAAGATACCTTTGTGACAGTTGTTATAAATTGGTGGTTGTTCTTGTAGGTGTACTAGTATCTGAAGTAGAAATTCAAAATGCAATTGGGCGAGAAAATGAGCGTGTATTCTGGTAAAGGGGTATACTTTAGTGCTTTGCTGTTCCTGATGAGTTGCTATTAGTCTTCAGGCCATGATTCGGTCATATTTGGTGCAGCAACAACTGCAGAAACTCCATTGTCGATCTTCACAGAAGTTGTCCAGAATGTATGTATGATTTGTGTCTCACTTGCTGCCGGGAAGTTCGTGCTGGACAGCTGCAGGTTTGTGAAGAAGCTGTAACGGAATATGTTAACAGGGATGTACAATCTATGCATGCTAAAAGCTCTCGTGGTCGGTCAAAAAAATCTACTAGAGGCTACAACACTCTTTCCAATTTGGAGGGTTCAGCTAGAAAGAGAGCGCATGCCCAATCAGAGAGAATTGCTGGAGGCAAAGATGCTCCTGCTCAAGTAAAGAGAATAGCTGGCGGCCTTTCTCCTGAGTTACCCCTTGATCAAAACAAGGCTACATCTGAATGGAAAGCAGAGAACAATGGTGCCATTACTTGCCCTCCACCAATATATGAGGGTTGTGGTGGTGCAATTCTTGAATTAAAATGTATCTTATCAGATGGTTGGGTCTCAGAATTGTTGAAGAAAGCGGAGCAGACTGTGTCCCAATGGGAACAAGATAATTCTTCCCATGCTCCTGAGGAATGTTCATGCTCTGCTTCAGATGTTGACTGTGGAGGCATCGTGCGGAAATGTGCTTTCAGAGAAGGTTCTAATGACAATTATTTATATTGCCCAGATGCTGGGGACATTCAAAATGGAGATCTCAAACACTTCCAGTGGCATTGGACCCTAGGAGAACCAATCATTGTCAGGAATGCTCTTGAGACTAATCCTGGTTTAAGTTGGGAACCAATGGTCATGTGGCGTGCTTTTCGTGAAGTTGGAAATAGGGTATTGAAGGTGAAAGCTGTTAATTGCTCAGATTGGTCTGAGGTAACTGCTATGCTACTTGCATCTCAGGACAAACTAATTTACCTGCTTAAATTGATGACCTACATTGCCATTTTATGTTTTCTGTTGCTTTGAGTGTTTCTAAGCTTGGTGTTTTTTTTTTAAACCTTATCAAAATCCTATACTATTTGATGTATGGGGCATTTTTTGCTTCTAATCTATATGCAGTTAAAATCTGTGATCTTCCCATTGATATGGAGCCACAATTTGTCTTGATATGCTTTGGACTGAAATGAACTCGCTTATGTGTCCCTGTTGTCTCTCTTCAGCTTTTCATATCTCCATTCACCCTATAAATGATATATTTCATCTGGTTCAGGATTTTGATAGGTAGTTTCAGACAATTACTAAGTAAAGTAATGATAGTCATGGATATAGTACGAACTACAAAGTAATTTTAGCAGTCTTCATCTAATAATAAATATTAAGTTATAATCATCATACATAAATAAACATTGAAATTTTTTTCTTGATCTATCTCTTATTTACGAGAATTTTTTTTAAGGAACACTCGTCTATAAATGAACACGGTTTATTTTCTAAATAGTAAGTATGGAATATATGAATTTGGAAACAAGCGCACTTCATTGTGGAAGACTTTCTTCCGAATCGTAGAAGAGGGATGCAATTATAAATACATTTGAATATTCTTTTCATGCTAGCTAATAAATACGTCCAACCATGAAATTTTCCAATATGATAGGACTGTAAACAACTAATAAATGTAACTACTTCACATAAACTCTGGATTGTAACATTCATCACTCCTTGCGACCTTGCATCCCAAGTTGTCTTTTCTATTTTAGTCAATCCACCAGAAGTCAAGACTTTGGCAAGCTATTTGACCATCATTGATAACAAAGGGCCACTTTTTTTTTCTAAAATTTTAACTTTTGTTTTTTTTTTGTTTTTCTTTAAGTTAAGGTTTTATAGTGTGTTTTATTTTGTCCATTGTTTTTGCTTTTATCAATGCTGTGATTCTCAATTGTATAATCTTTTTGTTCTCTGTTGCTTAAATTGTGATGGATGTTGGGTGCCATTCGCTGTAGGTTGATCTCAACTCTCACCAATTTTTTAAAGATTATTCACGAGGTCGATTGGAGGGTGCTAAGTGGCCTGGCTTACTGAAGTTGAAAGACTGGCCACCTATTGGTAAATTTGAGCAGCGTTTACCACGTCATAGTGCTGAATTTATCAAAGCATTGCCATTTAAGGAGTATACACATCCCAGGAATGGAGTTTTGAACCTAGCTGCCAAGTGGCCTTTAAGAACTTTGAAGCCAGACTTGGGTCCAAAGGCCTATATTGCTTATGGATGTGCTCAAGAATTGGGTTCTGGAGACTCTGTCACCAAGCTTCACTATCACATGTCTGATGTGGTACGTATTTTTATCTGTATCTATCTATTTCTTTGCACCTTGAATGATGCATGAATGTTCCTCCATGCAATCAACATTAATACAAAATTTGAAATTGCCTATAGTGTGTACGAAAAAGTCTACTATTTCATACTCCCTCTATTTGCAAGTAGCTGTTCCACTTCCTTTTTCAAGCTCAAAGTTTGTTATTATCGACTCTGTATATTAACTAATATATATGAAAATTATTAGTGTATATACAAAAATTTCTTGTTATTTCCCTTTTTCTATATCGGGCGGCTCTTTATGACAATTCATGTTAGCTACTACCTAATCATTTTGGGACTAAGGATTTTTTGTTATTTGTTTGTTATACAAAAATTTGTATTTACCATGAATTATTTTGATTTGTATATACAAAAAGTATACTTTTTTTTTATTTTTATTTTTTTAAATATGTAACTAAAGTTAGTAATGGTCAAGCTAGATGATTAATTACTTACAAATGGAGGGAGCATTAGTTTTGAGCACTGCAAGGTCTGCAACATCCTCTATTGCTGTTTTGGCTGATGACTGTATGATATATTGTCATTATGTTGACTTTAATTGCAAGGACTCTTAAAGTAGAAACTTGTCTGTTTGATTTAGTGATGACAGTGCTAGAAGAGATCTGTCAGCTGTAAAGTTATTCATTACTACTATGCTGGAATTGCCATGGTTGTCCTGTTTGGAGATATTGTGTATATATTGCAAGCACAGAGAACTAAGTTATAATATTATGCTTTCCATAATAAATGTAATTATCATTTTTTGTTGTTGTTGATTGATGTATTGTTTTTTCATTGATTAATGATCAAACAGTTTAAGTTGGCAGGCTTTACGTAATAAATGCGATTATGCGAATTATGCAATAAAATTGAATAAGGCTGTGTGTGTGTGTGTGTGTGTGTGTGTGTGTGTGTGTGATTGCAACTTGATACCAATGAACTAGGCCCGTTAGAATTCAATTATAATGTCTTGGCCATTTGAGAACTTTGTATTGCTATGTGTTGAAGTTCTGCTCATTACCAAAGCAAACAATACGCTTTACAAACAAGCAATGTCTTGCATTTGACATCGATCAGTTCTAAACTTCTAGATGATAGTTTTATTGGAAGGTTGAAGGTTTTTACTCAGTATTTTATGTTTGAAATGTGCTGAGTCTACTTACTGCTATTTTGTTTATTGGATTTCTAGGTCAATATTTTGACACATACTACTGAAGGTACTCTGCATCTTGGTAAAGGTGCTCGTCCATCTGGGATCTTGGAAGGTTCAGAGGATAAAAGTGAAGGTGCTCATTGGGACATCTTTCGTAGAGAAGACGTTCTTAAGCTACAGGAGTATTTGAAGGGACATTATACGGAATTTAGGCATGATCATTGCTCTCCATTGAGCCAGGTAATACTACTATTCATTCATTTAATTAAGGCATGTAAGCTACATAAGGCAAGTGATCAATTTCAGGTTGCAAGTAATATTATTCCTGTGAGGATTAAAAAATTTCTAATATAAATAAAGATGACAAATGTGTAATATTTTACTTCTTGAGTATTTAATAATTTAATAGATTATACTAATGACTTGATACAAAGAACAAAAGCTTAGCCAATGGCAATAGATGCTAAGGCTTCTGGTTCATTATTCCAATATCTATATAGTGATTCTTGCAACTATATTGGGACCACATTTCCTTACTTATAAAGCTGTCCCACATTTCTTGCAACACTTTTATAAATGGCATATACCCACAATTTCTTTATTATTTCTCTCACTTATATTGGGACCACTTTACTTACTACTCCCTCCAATCCTTATTGTTTATTCCATTTGGAATCATGGCACTATTTATGATAGTTTCTTCTAAATTACTCTCAATATATAAAACAAAATGTAGTCATATTGGGTCTTATTTGATTCGTTTCAATTAGTAATTTATTAATATTTAATTGTTATATTGTTTTACTAATATGAAACTAAAAATATTTATTGCCAAAGTAATTTATTGCCAAGCATGCAAAAGTCAAAATGGGAATAGCATTCAGGATCGGAGGGAATACTTTTTAAACAAACTTTATAAAAATAAACCCCTCACTCACATCCTTGAAAAGTAACGGCATATTTCCCACTAATTACAATGAAAAGATTACTCCACTCCCAAGTTCCAACTACCACCCATTTCTTTATAATCATCTACACAATAGTAGGCTATAAAAGTGCAGCTTCCCCCTCTCTCTCCCAACAATGGTCCTTTTTCAATCTTTAGCTTTGGAATGTGGACCACGAAATGCGATGAGATTTGCAGGAGTTGGTTAAAAGTATATAAATCTATGCAATTGTACCTAAAACCGATTGGTGGACTAAAATAAAGCAAGGCATTCTACTCTTGCTAGCAGTGGAATTAGTCCTTAATAAAGATTTAAATCGCATTGGGTCTTCAAAATGATTATCACCGGCTGGCGAAATTGGTCTTTAGGTCTAGTCTCCTTTGCCAAATTCAATTTCTCAGCTTGGACTACGAAGGTATGATGTCTATTAACCAGTATGAGCTATCCCATAGCACTCTCAAATTTGTAAATTTACTATAACTTAATTTGTAGATACCCAAAAGGGAGTAACCTCCTATAATATCAATATAGGGGTGACTTGGCATCAAAAGCTTACCAAATTAATTTTTAAACACCCCCAATCTGCCACTACCCTCAAGCTGACAATTTGGAGAGTGTTTGGGGAGATGAAGGCGATGGATGTATGTGGAGACTAAGAGATGGTGGGAATGATTTCCCAGATGAAAGCTACCCATTACCTAGGGGCAAGGGAGAAAAACAGGGAGAGTTGTAAAAAGGGACATACTGCCATATTGTAGAGGATAATAAACAGAAGGGGGCAGTGTGAACAACCTGGAAGCTACCTGAGGAAAAAAAAGGATGGAAACTGCGTTGACCATTAGAGAGAGAGAGAGAGAGAGAGAGAGAGAGAGAGATTTTCATTGATAGCCGCAAAATTTTCATTGATATAAGCTATTAGATCCTACCATAAAAAGTTACTTGTCAGTCATGTACTCATGGTACATGATTCACGTGAAATGAAAGCCGGTCTACCTTTTATTACCATTATTAAGAACCATAACATATACTCACATGAAACTAAAATTAATTATTGGTATTAAATTAACACAAAATGAAGTATGTGTGGCTGCACTAATACCCTACAATATAGGAGTAGTTTTATGTGTGGCTGCACTAATACTCTCCATATAATCCCACACTCCTGCTCTTCTCTCTGTTTTGTGCTCACTGACTCTGTTGTGTTAAATTTCTTCTGCTCTTAAATCCTCTCTATGAAAAAAAGAAAACTGAAGCAGCATCTTTCTTAAGAAAAATTGCACCCCTAACCTACATTGTTCTGCCTTTTCTATTCTCTGGAAAGTGGTCAACTTGTTAGCCTTACTGCATTCATTCTTGCAAAGACAATAGGGTTTTTCTTACTTTTGCCTGCACCAATGAAGTTGAGCTTCATGGGAATTATTTTTCCTTCCTGCCATTCAGGTGCTGTTGGCAATGGTTTGTATGTCTATTTGTTGTTGGAAGTGTTCATGCGCTAGTAAATTATCAAGGATCACTCTCTTTCTTATTGCTTGAGATGTGAGCATTGACATGCTTTCCTTTTTTTTCCTTTTAAATTTTGACACCCATCCATGTAATTGGAGACCCTAATTTTTACAAAAGGTGAATTGAAATCTATTTTTAAGCTCCTTATTTGCTAGCATGCTTTCCTTTTGGTTGGTATCTGAAGATTCGCCAATGCTGTAACTATATGCGCGTTCTAAGGACTGAGCTTTCTTTATGATGACATTAGTTTTCATTTATAATGTTAGCTATTCTCAAACTTATTGATATATTCTTCTTAAGTTTCATTGTTTGATTTGGTATGAAAGTGTAGGTCATTCACCCTGTTCATGACCAGACATTTTACTTGAATGAGGAGCATAAAAGGAAGCTGAAGGAAGTATATGGTAGGTTTAAGATTGTTTTCTGTAGCTCTCTCAATGGTTTTTTACTCAGCCTTTCTTAATCATTTAACTTCTCTCTATTGCTGCTTATATTGGCTTGAATTCTATGCTACTTACAGGAATTGAGCCATGGACATTTGTTCAAAAGCTTGGAGAAGCAGTCTTAATCCCTGCTGGCTGTCCTCACCAAGTTAGAAACTTGAAGGTAACCATATTGATTCCCGTGGCCTTATCTTACTTTCACTTGTGAATTTTTTTTTTAAAAAAATATTTAGGCTTTAATAATCATTATATCATCTTATTTTACAAATTTTTTTGAGTTATTGGATATTGATATATGCCTCTTAATATAAGCACTTAATACATTATGTAATTTGGTTTTATTTTAGGAATGCTTGACAAAATTACGCATTCCTAATCAAGTGGAAATATTTTTTCAAACCCTAAGGGTTGTATGCATGTATATATCATTTTCCTTTTTACTTTTATGGATCAAAGCTAGTTTCTTGGTTAATTTTGGGGATATTTGACAATTACCACCTACAATTGTTGCTATTTTAGCCATTACCACCTACAGTTTTTTTTTTTTTTTTTTTTTTTTTTCCGAATTTTACCACCTACTATTTTTTAAAACATTAAAACTTCCCACCTACTTGGCTCTCAACTCAAATGTGACGTCATGTGGGACCCACTAACTACCTTCCCACCCTTTTTCCCTCCCTTTCTTTCTTTCTCACTCGATTTCTCATCCCTTGTATTGTACTCCTCTCAAAATTGGGGAAAAACTTCAATTCGTGAAAAAATTGACATGAATATGTAATTTATTTTGAAGTTTTTCCCCAATTTTGAGAGGATTACAATATAGGGGAATGAGAAATCGAAAGAGAAAGAGAAAAAAAGGAGGGAAATAGGGTGAAAAGGTAGTTAGTGGGCCTCACATGACATCACACTGCCGTTCGGAGCCAAGTAGGTGGGAAGTTTTGATGTTTTAAAAAATAGTAGGCGGCAAAATTAAAAAAAAAAAAAACTGTAGGTGGTAATTCCTAAAACAGCAACTATTGTAGGTGGTAAGTGTCAAAAAAATCCTTAATTTTGTCTTCTATTTATTGTTCAGTAATCAGTACTCATGTTAAGAAGTTTAATAGGGGTGGGTCAAAATGTGTAAAAACTAAAAAGTGGATAATATGGGTTTATGTGATGGAGAGAAAAGGTGATAACAGAAAATGGTGGGCTTTATCCGTTATAGACAAGTGAAAGATAAATGTGGTGTTTTTTTTTTTTTTTTTTTTTTTTTTTTTTTTTTTTTTTTTTTTTTTTTTTTTCAAATACCTTTTTAAAGAGCATAGGAAATTAGGAAGTGTCATGTAAGAAAGTAAAATCCTCTCAAAAAAAAAAAAAAGTAAATGTAAATATTGTCATTCAAAAAAAAAAACACACACACAATTGTGCAGCTATATATAGAGTTTAGCAAATAATTTTTTTTTTTCTGAAAGATAGCAAATAAAATTTTAAGGAAGAATATGAATAGGAGATGTCACATAATGACATAAGTATTTTTAAGTATTTATTCTTTGAGGCTGCCCCAGTTAATCTCCGTGATAAACAAATTTCGTTTATCACGGAGTAAAACCGCTACCTCAAAAATTACACTTTTGTCCCCGTGATAAACCTCGTGCATGTATTTTCTCTTTATTCTTTAACCTCGTGCATCATGTGTATATTAAGCTAGTTGTATAATAAAAGATAATATTGCTATGGAGGGAGTATTATGCATGATTTTGATGAATTGACCTGTCTGTATGTTCCAGTCATGCATAAAGGTTGCGCTTGATTTTATCTCTCCCGAGAATGTTCATGAGTGTATCCGTCTTACTGGGGAGCTTCGTAGTCTGCCTCGAAATCACCAAGCCAAGGAGGATAAATTGGAGGTATGTCTTTTGCCGATGATTGCATATTTTCTAGTGCTTCCTTAGCATTATTGACTAAAACATAGACTAGAAGAATGTGAACTTCTGGGAAAAATCTGATTATATTCTTGGTGTAGGTTTGGAAAATGATTATATATGCTGTAAAGCAGGCTTTAAACGACTTGAAGACCATATAGGAGTCAGATGAAGAATTGGTTGCCTGAGCTAGACCTGAGTAATTTTTCTCGTAATTCAGGTCTGCAGTTAAGGGTGACTTGAACAGAGTTGAGGCTTCTATATTGTACAAATAATGTTAACTGAGCTGTGTTTTGGAAGTTAGTTTAATTGTTAGTATAGCTTGCACACTCACAGCAAGTCTAATTGTGAGGATGGTGACAATAGCGCGAGCCTCAAGGAATGTGGCACGTCAGTCCAAACATTTGGAACATAATATTGACCCTTTGTTTCTAAGACACTTTTAATTGACTTTACAAGTATTTCTATCTTTCTTCAATGTACTAACGGAAAGAAAGAAAAAGATTGGATTTTTTAATTATCATTTCCTCCGTCGAATACCGCCAACCCCAATTCAAAGTATGAATCTTATAACCGCGAGAATTGATACAAACACAGGAAAACACACAAGCAGCAGTACTTGAAAGAATTAGCTCAAATGACTCAAAATGTAAAATAAAAATTTGATTACATTGATTGATCAATAACAAGTCTCCAAAGAAAAAGAAACCAACATATCAGCTCTAGTTATACTCCCCAACTGGCCAACTATACAACAAAATCACCAACACTTCCTGTCTGAAACCCCTAATCCACCAACACTTCTACACTATAATTCCAATTCCAATACAATAGTAGGACTAATCTACTTTGGGCTATGATTCCAATTCCAATTCCTATGATATTGACCCCTGAATTAATGGAGACAGTAGCATACTCTGGGCTTTCTCTTTAAGAGAGTTTCTTACAATTATATGTAAATTAGATTCAAGTTATGATGAATAAGGTAAACATTGTCGGTCTAAGCTAAAAATTAATAGTAGTGGAGTGAAGCTCATTTTCTATTGCTGCTGATCAGAAAATTGGCATAATAAAACTCAAATTAGACAACAAAATAACTCAAATTGACACGCAGAAATATGTATATTGAAGTTGTAAACCATCGAACAATGGCTGAGATAGAGGGGACTATCATACCTTTCTACCTACACAAAACTGGTCTTAAAATCAGATGAGACCAAGCCATATAGTGAAATATATCTACCCCATTGTCAAACTCCGAATTGCCAACGAAGGAATCTCCATCACAGTATCTTAGTTTGATGCGGTTCCAGTTGTAGAAGCCTCTTATCACTGTATATGAAGCAAACTTTGAATCAATATCGCAAAGTTTATTTAAAATTAAATCACTTTCATATCCTATGCTTGAGGTTATTTTTTCACATAGAACATGTCTATTTACATTACTAAGCTGGCTAAACAAGAACCTGGGCTATACACATTATAGATGATTGGAACTGGAGTATGATGATGCAATTTTTTGAGGTTACAGGAATTACTAGATAAAAATAACCTAACAAAGCTCATATAGCACTGTAATTCTCTAGTTCTTCCAGTTTTCCCTTCAAGTAAACTAAAATTTCTCCATGTAGCCATGCTGCAAGCTCAAGCTCAAACTACCACATATCCTGCTTCTGTTGATCTATTACAAGCCTAAAATCAACATCTTACCCATACCAGAAACCACAACTCAAACTACACATCATGAACACCGCCATGCCAGTGCCTTTTGATTACTCTAAGCTATGGTAGAGTTTAAAACGTCATATACGTACTGATATACTTGCTGCTCACATGTACTGTAAACTATCATACCTCTATAGCTGCAAAAGTTAGATAGCCTCGATTCCAAAAGGCATAAATGAAAATGATATCACCACAAGTCAGGGGTATAGGGGAGGTAAAAAACAAGAGCCAATAAATAATGTTATGGTCTGAAAGGGCTACCCAAGTCCACTTTACATCTACAAAAAGTATAGATAAGTTTAATCAAATACGATCAGTCCAGATAACTAAAACTCAAACTCAACCTAAGAAGCACCCTTTTTATTTTATATATAGAAAAAGAAATTATTGCTCCATTTTTTAGCAATGCCACCCTATCTCAGAGGATAAAAGGGTCATTCAGATAGTAAAAATGGAACATGAAACTACATGATGTCAAATTACCTACTTATTTGCCACCACATTTGCACACTTTCGCCTAATAACTTAGATGGACTCGAAATAATAGAACTCCAAAGATATCACCCCATCTATGTAGAATAAACGTGACTGCCTAATTAGCTTATACAATCTTAACTGGTTTTGCATACTACCACAAGAAAACTCAAGTACTAAAACTCAGGAAAACAACCGTTTAACCCAGAATTGGCCATCCAATGAACATATTAGCCCTATATAAAGAACTCTCAAGTGTTACTGTAGCTATAATCCAAAGAGGGACCTTTACCCAATAATAACATTAATATATATCTCATTTCAACACTAATTGGAACAGTTATTCAAAACACTTCTTACGAACATATTCCCAAACAAAATTTGACATGCAATTCATTATGCCAACATCACAAATACATAAAAACAATTCAGCAATATATATCCAACCAACCTAGGAGTATTATTGGAGCTCGAGTTAGATGTACCATAACCAAGTTGCCCTTCCTTGCTGCAGCCCCATGTTAATACTTCACCAGTCTCAGAAACAGCAGCAGATAGTTTATCAGCAACTGACCCACACATGCAAATCCAAATGACGCATAATACACATTGACAGATACTAAAAAAGGGGTTCAAGTTAGATTTTGTTTCACAATGCATATACTAATACCCAACTCCCAACTTAACTAGAATAGAAGGTAAATCTTATAAAGACAGAGTAAAGAGGAATAACTCACCCTAGCGTCAGGGTCAGCACCTGCTGCAAGTAATCTCCTCACAATAGGAATGTGATTTCTCCAAGTAGCAATGTGAAGAGGAGTAAGGCCAAATGCATTCCTCAGAGTTGATATTACCACCATTTTGTTTCAGTTGAGTTATAGCTGATTCGACATCACAATACAATAAGCCATATATCTTTCTGAGTTCCACCTAAAACAGATTTGCACCCATGGCTTTGAGGACTTTGCTTATGCCCTCGAGGTGAAAGAGAACCTTCCATCGACAGTGTTTGGAGCCAAAAAGCTTCTATGTTTTTTTGAACGCAACCCAAAAAGCTTCTATTTGAAACTAATGAAATTTGACCAGGAATAGCCTTTAGGAAGTAATAGATGTAATTTGCAATGCGGGGTGATTTAGGGTTGAAATGTTTGATTCGGGCAAAATCGCGGGGTTTTTTTTTTAATACGGACAATCTCGAATTTTCTTTACAAAACGGCCCAACCAACAGGTGGCGGCCTTGTTTTTATACCCTGAATTCCTCCCTCATTGTCTCTCTTATTCCAACGCCCAATAAAAGTAAAACTGCTGTTATCTCTCCTCTTCCTTCAACCTCCAAACTCCATAGTCATCTCTCCATCTTCACCACCATTTTTTGATAATTTATTTCTTCCCCTTCAATCCTCCATTGAAGCAGTTTCTGAGGTAAGTTATTATCTTTTTTAATCATCGAATAACAATTTAACAATCCAGGGTTAATCAATGATCTGTATTTAATTTAATTGTCAATAAGGTTTGAAATTTTCAATTGATTAGAATATGATTATGTGATTTGATAATTGTATGAAATTCGGTCGGTCATGGATTTAAAATTGAGTCGAGATCTACCGAATCCTAGAACTTATAAAAAAATTAACTTTATACACCATGAATTTGTTTGATTGGATTGTTGGTCCAGAGTATTCTGGCTTTTCAATTTCAGGACTGTTTTTGCATCTTTAGGATCCTGAATTGTGTTTCACTTATATGTGTTTGTGTTGCTGTTAGGAGAGAATGGGCAGTCAAGAAACAAGCTTGGAGCTTTTAAGTGTGGATCTGATAATTAATATTCTGGTTAAGCTCTCTGAAAAGGATCTGATTAGGTGCAAGTGTGTATCGAAAGAGTGGCATAGAATTATAACCCATGTTTGCGTTCCCAGGTTGTCTGTTGAGGCACCTGTTTCAGGGGTTTACTTCCGTATTGCTCAATTACCGGGTAGCTTGGGACATCTTACGACATACTCCCCTCAAAAAGTTAAAAAGCTACTCTTTGACCATATTAAATCTGATGATAGTGTGCACATCATGGATGGTGCTCCTTTGAAAGATGAGAAATCTGGGTTTGAGGGCATGTCTTATGCAAGTATATTGCCGTTTGATCACCGCGGTCCTGATTTTTTGGACTGTTGCAATGGCTTGCTTTTGTTTGTCCATCGTCCTAAACCCCGCTTTTACGTGTGTAATCCTGCCATCAAACAATGTGTGCCCATTCCTCTCCCTCCACCTACACTCCATCTGCCCTCCCTTTATGCCTCATTAGCCTTTGATCCTTCTGAGTCCATTCATTACCGTATTGTCATCTTATCACTTACAACTCAGCCACAGTATTTGCTAATTTTTTGCTCCCAAACTGGAGAGTGGATGACACATGAGGTTCAAGTTAGGCTACCTGTTCCTTATGAGTGCTTTCGGATGGTTAGGCACTGTGTTTACTTCAAGGGCATGTTATATAGATTATCTTTGCCTGACAAGATTCTATGTATTGACCTTGAATCTAAGACTATCCATATAATTGCTTCCCCAGACGAGAGAAATATATCACTTCCAAGAGGATGTTTTGGGGTATTAGCTGGCTCCTTATCGTATGCAAAGAGAGAATATGGACATTTGTGGGTGTGGTTGCTTGACAACCATAGCAAACAGGGTGAGTGGATATTGAAGTATAAAATCGCCTTCTCTCACATATATGAACTTGCATTAAGCTTGTATTTTGCTACTTTTACCATATGGATACATACATTTGCATTTCATCCGAAATCCAACATCATATTTTTGGGCTCTGCTCGTTCACTTATGATGTATGATCTTAGTTCTGGTCATATGGAACTTGTACAGAGTAATGCAATAAGCGATATCCATTGTGGTTCTTTGTTCTCTCTGTTTACATATAGACACACCCTGATCACATTGAAGAGCTGGTGCAGGACTCCTAACGATCTTGATGTGAGTATTGACTAGATCAGTTACTTAATCTTGTTTCTTGCATTTATTGCTTTTCGGCAATCTCATATATATTGTCTTGGCTTTCATGTTGTGATTATCTTACTAATTGTGGTGTACTTGATTATTTAGGTTGTAGTGTGTTTTTTTTTTTTTTTGGCTTCGGACACTTTTATATAATTATCCATCTTTTCTTCAGTTTCTAATGGAGTATGTCTTGACTGAACTTTTGCTCCTTTTTAATGTGATTTCCCAACAAAGATAGCCGTATTATTTATATCTAATGCATATTTGATTTACATGAACAGTTAATCTGAAAAGCTCGACTTACATATGACAAGTAATTGCATTACACTTGTGACTTCCCATACATTGGTCTCTATGAATTTTTGATATATGCTTTTATGTGCAATGTGAATTGCTAATCCTTTTGCATCCTACTTTGGATGGACACTCCATCTTATTGGTGGATCAAAAGTTGTGAGGTGGACTGGTGGTTATAGTCGAATAAAGTAGATTCAGGGCAACCCACAATTTTATCTCCACCAATGCTCTAAAAATATTGGCACGTCCAGCCTTTCAATCGTAGAGTTTTGGGTAATCCTTGGGACTTTATGGTTTTGGGTATAGGATAATGTCAAGCAATCCATTTAAAGTTGCAAGGGTTGATCAATGTGAAGATTTATCACCCTAATAACCTGGTAATATTGATATAATTTTGTGTGTTCAGTAGTTGGAAAATTTGGGCTTAATAGTCACCAGTTGGTGATAAGGAGGTCATCTTTCAGGGAGACCCTTCAGTTTGGTGTTCTTTGGTATCACTCAAGCCTGATGCTCTCCCATTTGATCTCGTTTTAGACTTTAATTAGTTTTGTCGTGATTATAATTAGGGACTTTGTGTACATATCTTTTGTTATCACTACAACTTTTAATTATCTTTGAGCAGAAATTTATAGATCTAGAACAATCTTGAGTCTGAGTCAAGACTCGATCAATCTTCTAAACTCTATGGAATGGAAAAATGAATCTAGGGAATATGTAGTCAGCCAGACCATGAAGATTGTATTATGTATGACAATGCAGGAAGTATCAATGCAAACCCACTAAATGTTTTTGATGCTAAATACTCGTTCACTATCTAGTTGTCTCAGTGTAGCTTCATCCTCCTTTTGCTGTGTATGCATCTTGACATTTATGTGCCAATGTGGGAAGAATATTGTCGCTTGGATGTTGGAGCAATCCGACGAACCTATAAATGTAAAGTACTGTTTTGTTTAGTGGATTGTGCAGCTGAAGTTGTTAGTTTGATCTTTGAAGTCGCTAGAACAATAAAAGTAATTTTATCAATGTTTGAAAGTAGAGTTTCACTATAGCTTATGTTTACTTTTGATGGTCAGAACTCTGAAGAGGTGCAAGACGATTGGTGTTTCACTGAGCAATGATTATATCTATTCATTTTCGTGAGAGCTGCAGCTTGTTGCAATCAACTGCCAGGCACCTCACTGTGTTGATTCTACAGCTTAATAAGGTGACATCGACTGTACATTATTCCAAGAATAAAGGAAATGTTGGCATCTGCACCCTCTTTAATTTATTGGTGCTTAGTGGTAAGCTTCAATAACAGATACCAAGTAGGCTAATTGAGACAAGGGAAAGGAAAACTAATATGATCTCAAAAAAAAGAAAAAAAAAAAAATTTATCTTTGATTGATTTGTGTATTTGATTGATTTGTCTTTTAAGCTGCTTTATGTAGTATTATAATACTAGTTTAGCTCCAGCCTAGTTTGATTTCTTATTATATGTTTAATTTTTCATATGTATGATGTTGTTATCTAATTGTTTATATGGTTAGCCTTTTAGACAAAATACCTTGATTTTGGCCGACTCATCAATCCGGATTGGATTTCTAAAGCCTTAGACTACACAGAAAAACTTGACCCGAAGTTCTTCACGTTTGTAACTGGCTTTGGTATTAAACATAGTGACCCTTATATTAAATATAGTAACTTTAATTTTAACATAGTAACCTTCAATAAAAGTTGTGTGATTTTTAATATTGTTGCAAACCTGAAGTATGACGTTATGATCCTAATTTTAACCTAGTGACCTATATTATTCATATTGACCGCTATTTTAAAATTTTCATCAAAAAATTAATCTATAAAAACACAATCACTTTTATTTTAACATAATAACCATTATTTGACTTTTTTTTAATTAATAAAACGACAATAGTAACACTACTATAAGTGGTCCACAATTGATTAATGTGAACCGGGTCTATTTAAGAGTTTGTATAGACTACAAAGTAATTCAAGTGCTGAAGTAACATATCTAGCAGGTATTTGGAGACCGTTTAAAATTTGCGAATGACATTTTACCATTTAAATTAATTATATATAAAATACTATGTTTTTAGATGAAGACTGATATGTCTAAATCTAATCTACTCTGTAATATATATAAATAAAGTTGGCATTTTTCGAAAGCATTTAGAGTGTTAATTCAAAAGCATTCGGAAGCATAAGCAAAAGCATTAATTCAAAAGCATTCGGAAGCATAAGCAAAAAGCTAAAAACATTAATTCAACCAATGAAAAATGAGATTTACATTTTCTTTTAGAATTAAAAAAAAACAATTGCCACATAAGCCAAAATGAAGGAATGAGAATTGGAGGTTATGTAAACGGAGGTTGAGAGATAATAAAGTTATGTCTCACAAGGGTAATATAGGCATTTGAGGCGTTAGTTTAAAGTTGTCTCATTGAGTTATCAAATAATATCACTGGAGTTTTAGTGGTACTAAATACGCTCTCAGTATACTCTGAGTAGTACTTCAAAAAGCTCCACTGGAGTTTTGGAAGACGAGGAAGCTGTTGATTCCATTTATTGGAATGGTTCACCTCATGGTGGCTTTTCTTTAAAATCTGCAATTGAGATTATTAAAGGAGAGTCGGCCACGACTATTGAAGAGGTTAAGGGGTGGAAGTCGATGTGGAAATGTGAAGTTCCTCAAAGAACTCGCCTGTTTCTGTGGCTTGCAATTCAGGAAAGAATCATGACAAATGGAAACAGATTTGTGAGGAAATTGACTGAAGACCCTAGATGCCAAGTCTGTGGAGAGGTAGAAGAAAATGCTGAACATGTAATCAAAAGATGCCCTGCTGCTAGGATTATTTGGCAGAAATTGGGGGTTGGTATGCATAGAATCAGTAATGATGTTCCCTTTAGGGACTGGATGTTGGAGAATATAGATGAGCGTCTCTCTTGGTCCTGAATGGCCTCGAGCTTTTGCAGTCACGTGTTGTTGGTTGTGGAAGTGGCGTAACAATAGATGATTTGAAAGGGTGCCGAGTATTCCTGTAGACCAGGCAGCCTTTATTTTCTCTCGTATTGGTTTCATAAGACAAGCTATGGAAAGAGATAGTTTTAGGATGGAAGAAAGGCAGCCTTTATTTTCTCTCGTATTGGTTTCATACCCGAGTGTGGGATGGGTAAGATTAAATACCGATGGTGCTTCTAAGGGAAATCCGGAGCTGGAGCAGGGGTGTACTTTTTGAAGTTTTTGCGCTGAATTGTGGAATCTGCTCTTGTACAAGAGCTGAACTTCTTGCAGTCTTACGAGGATTACTGATTGCCAGACAAGGGGGGCATAGTAGAGTGTGGTTGACAGTGGACTCAGAGGTGGTGGTCCGAATGCTGGTTGGTGAAATCCCAGCTAGCTCTCCGTATATTCATCTAATAAAGAAATGCAAAACTCTTATTTCGAACTGCAATTGGGAAGTTGCGGTTGAGCACTGCTATAGGGAAGCCAACAAGGCAGCTGATTGGTTGGCCAACTATGGAGTGAAAATGGATAAGAAGTTCGAGCTCACTGAGGTGGTCCCTAGGGATCTTCAGGCTATTTTATTGGAGGACTTGAGCGGAGTTGCGTGGAGGAGGAAAGTGCCTTCTGGTGCCTTGGACTAGTTGTAGGAGCTGCTTTGTTTCTTTTATGTTTTTTAGTTTCTGTCTTTATTTTTGTTTCCTGTAGTTTACTCCTTTTTTGTTTTGGTTTTGTTTTCCTATTTTCTATAGGGGCTTGCCCCTCTCTTTCACCAAAATAAAAATAAAAAAATAATTTACAAATATAAGTTTTTTGTGCCAACAAATATATAGTCAAAACTGATGTATGATAGTACGTACAAAAGCAAAAAAATTGGATTTATAAAATAATACGGAGTAGGTAATATAAGTCTTGGCCCCCTTAGACTTATAATCCCGGCTTCGCCCCTGGGAACAAGCACTATAAATATTTTAGTTATACATGGGATTAGAAGTGAAACAATTAAGAGAGCTCCCATTGATGTGGTGAGGAAGGTCTTGTCTGGTTCACCTTATTTTTGTTTATCTAAACTTATTTGATCCTGTATGAGATTTTCATAATTTTTTTCATTACAAAATTAAAGATATTTAGCGATAAAAAAACTTCTCATAAAACGTTGATCTGATCTGAACTTTTTTTTTTTTTATCTGATATGAACTTATTTAACAAGCTAAGGCCGACGTATTCACGAAAATAATGAGAGACATGAACTCTCACAAATTATATATGAGTGGTGTAGGTGTGAGTAAGGCCTTGTTTAGTTCACAAATTAGGCATGAAAGTTGCTTTTTGTTGAAATTGGATTAAAACTCCACGAAACTCTAAAACATATTAAGTGTCAAAAACACTACACATTTTTTTATGCTTTCTTGCTCATCAAGAGTGACCTATGAGCTTTAGAAATAGGATTACATGCTTTCATTTATAGGCTGATAATTAAGTATAAGCATCTTCAATGTAAAACCAATAATATTTTTTGGTTCTATAATATTACGTGCCAGTAAGTTTGTTGAAGCGCTACTAAGTTTGTTGAAACTATATTGTGACTTGAAAGTGCTTATTAATGTGTAAGGTGTTGTATAACCTTATTGTTGAGGTGTAGATAAGTATAACATTGTTGTTGAATGCAGGTTCATATTATATTGTGGATTTGTGGTTGACTACAGGTTTGTGATAACGCAAGTTTTAGTTTGTTGAAAATATAACAGATTGTTGAAACTATATTGTGATCTGAATTAATTTTTTTTTTCCCAACTGCACAGATTTTCTTATCTCGTCTAAGTCCAACTAGTATGATCTTTACCAACCTCTGATGAAATTTAAACATGAAAAATAATACAGGTTTCAGAAATTGGGCCATTATATATCAACATATGATTATTTCGAAAATGATCAATTGGATACAAGCAACCTCTTTAAAACGAATACCTAATCTGGCAACCACTTAGAAATTGTTTCAAGTGTATCAATATAGATCAGTTGTTTACTAAAGGTAATCTTTGGTAGCGATTATATATAGAGAAGATCCCAGCTATGGTAAGAATTCACTCGCGCTAATCACAGAAGAAACAGAAAGAATTTGTGTATTGAAGAACTCTGCATTACAATCCTTACTTTTGAGAATTGAGACAAGTCTCTTGATAATTTTCTGGATGCCATAATCTTTTATACCTTTCTATATAAAGCTGAAACTCCCTAACAATTCCATAACCTAATTATTCCCTTCTTCCCCAGGAAAGCAGCCTTATGCATTAATGTCTTTGCTAACCCGATTAAGAAGTTCATCCATGGTGGCGATTGTCTTTGGGAGACGCCTAATTAGCCTCAAACAACTGTTCATAAGAGAGTTCCATGATATTACCCCTTTTTAATGCTGCTCTAACATTGATAGTGTTATCATTGCTCGGTTTTGAAGACTCAAAAATGACAGAATCTAAACAATTTCCTACTTTAACCATTCGATTTATTTTATGAGAGAAACAAAGTTTTAAGGGATGAGTGAATTTGACATTATAACTCTACGATTAATGACTAATGAAGTAATGAACAGCTAGAATACTTGTATACTGAAATGGAGGGAATTCAAGATCGAAGAATTACATAGGATAGAGCTTCCATTCCGAATACAAAAGTAGAAAGTGAACAAAAGAACAAAATGAAGTTTCCCCCACCTTTTGAGATTAGAGATCTGTACAATTAACTTCACAAAATGCCCTAAATCTTTCGTCAGGCCTAACCAACACAATCAGACTACCTCTCAAATAGTTACTCAGCAGACTATAGTGGCACTATAAAATAGAAGCCCTTCTGGTGACTAGCAGGAGCAAACACCCACTAACTGCAGAACCGTTTTACAGTTAAATTACTCGGCATCTGACCCGGTCTCAGGCTTGAGCTCAGGTTCAGGATCTGAATCAACATCTTCATCAGGGTCCGACCCATCATTCCCCTCAGGCCTGACAAACCCACACCCGCAACAAATATATTAGTTCTCCAATTGCAGTCCAGTAAATCAATAAAGATTAGAGGGGAGGGGGAAATAAAGGTACCTAAAAGAACTATGCTATCACACAACACATCAGGTGTCGAAAAATAGTATAGCATAAGAATTCTAACAGAAACTACTCTATCACATGACACATCACGTGTCGAAAAGAAATAGTGCTGTACATTGTGTGAATGTGCGATTGACATGATTCTACATACGTGCAGGTAATGTTTCCAAAGTCAGTTGAAACAAAGGGAGAAAGCAAAAGTATTTGGGAAATTCTACATGGTGGCCCTAAGTTTCGACCTAATCTATACAGTGACATACCAAACTTTTTCATTCTACGCTATGGCACTAAGTTTTTGTTTATTCTACGCAGTGGCACAATTAAGCCTTTAAGCTAGCCATTTAGACCCTAAGCATGTTTTATTAACCATTCTAATTGAAATTACTAACCTAACCCCTACTCTAATCAAAATTACAATTAATCTAATTTAAAAGGAAAGAAAACCAATTAAAAGTCCATTGCAGCTTTGATTTCAACTAAGAAAATTGCACTTCGATTTTTTATTTCAATTTGTACTAAGAAGTCCATTGCAGCTTCGATGACGTTCTTGCCTAGAAGATCTGACAGTGAGATATGTTTGTTATCCTTGACTGAAACAAGGTAATTGAAAGCCGTATCAGTAGGAAATAAGAGGGAGTCCAAGGAAAGCGAGGTGAGCTTGTCAGTCTCTTGGCGGGCAAGGGCTTCAGCCGCAAAGGGATACATATCTGTGACGGAGTTTGGGGTGTGTGTGATAGCATTAGCAGCCCTGCGTTCCATAAATTTACCGTGAGGTCCAAGAACGATCAACTGATCACGGGGCGTATCATCATGATACTCACACACATTGCGGCTTTGACAGTCGTCAAAAGGCAATACAAACCATGAAGATGAAATTGTGTACTCGTACTCCCATTTCATCTCATTCTCTTCCTCTCTTCTGTCTTCAATTGATCCCCAAATATTTAGGGTTTCTCCTCCTCAATTTACGCTTAAATCGACAAATGCGCTTAATTTCACGCTTTGATTTCAATTGCAGATAAGTTAGGGTTTATCTGCTATTCGATTCGAGAATGAAGGTTTTGTAGACTCAATTCGTAAAAAGGAGGTTGCGATGGCGGCGCCGAGAATTGTGATTGGAGGAGCTGGAGGGAAGGTTTAGAGATGATCAGAGCGTCAAAATCGAGGATTCGCTGTTGAGTAAGAAAACGAAATTAGAAGGAAGCTTAAAACCTTAACTTGGTCACTGCGTAGAATAAGCGAAAACTTAGTGTCATAGCGTAGAATAGAAAAGTTTAGTATGTCACCGTATAGATTAGGTCGAAACTTAGGGTCACCATGTAGAATTTCCCAAAGTATTTTGTATACAGAGGAACAACCTTCAGATTTCAGACCCACTATGACAAATCCCAATGTAATCAGTCATACAGTACGAAAGGTTGAAAGAAGGATTCAGTTATCTAAAAGTGACTTACCTTAATTTTTTTAAAGCCGCCTTCATGGCATAGAGAGTCATTTTCTTCACCTACATCAAGAAAAACATTATAAGTAACTAATATAATCTCCTAGCTTGGTGTAACCTGAGGTCTCAAAAGCAGGGAATTACACCACAAATTGCCACTGACATACCTCCAACTTATCCTCCTTGGCCTTGTGATTTTGAGGTAGAGCCCGGAACTCCCCAGCCAGGCGCATACACTCGCCAACATTCTCAGGGGACACGAAATCAAGCGCAACTTTTATACATGACTGAGCAAGAGAGTTTCAACAAATCAGTTGAATTGACATGAAGGGCAGACTCATGAAATTCATAACCCTAAGTCCCTAACCAAGACAACATTCAATAAATTCTAGATTCCTTGTTTTCACTTTTAAATTCTCAAGTATGCTTACTATTACTGTTGACAATTCATGTAGCCGACCCCAATTCGGCACTAAGACTTTGTTGTTGCTTTTTAATGTTGACTCCTAAATTATTTAGGAAACTAAAAACTAAAATCTTATAAACTATATAAAATATAAAAGTAAATCAATTTGAAAGAACACCGAGAGCAAAACAAATAGCACTACCTTTAGGTTTCTAACTTGATGAGGACATCCAGTTGGAATAAAGACTGCCTCTCCAAGATTTTGCACAAATGTCCAAGCTTCAATTCCTACACAGTAGCACAAAAAAGACTAAATTGAGTACGCATTGGGACATCTATTACACACAACACAAGCAAAAGAAAAATCCATACTGGGAGAGATGTCACAAGTAAATACTGTGAACCTTACCATATTCTTCTTTCAGCTTCCTTTTGTGCTCCTCAGTAAGGTAAAATGTCTGATCATGAATAGGATGTATGACCTGTTCATTGACATAAACAAGCAATTATATGAAGCTTAGACAGGGCACGTCAAGAAAAGAACACAGATGACATAATATTGTCAGACAGCTTAAGGTAACCTTTGTTTTGACAATACAATAGAAAGGCTTGAGAAACAAGAATAAAGTAAAGAATCCATAGTTTTTATTTTAAATTTGATGCAAATCTTGATAAATTTTGCCAATATGCTAGATAAAAGGCATGCAAGCTTGTTGACGTTTACAGACTACAGAATAGTACCTGCTTCAGTGGATTACAATGAATATGCCTGAATTCTTGATAATGTCTCCTTAAATATTCTTGCAGCATAGGGACATCTTCTCTCCGAAAGATGTCCCAAAGCGCACCTCCACTATGAGGTTCTGAACCTTCTAAGTTCTCAGATGGAGGAGCTGAAGTTCCATTATCCCTAGTTTCCATATCCTTATCAGGATAACCTTTTTGAGCATCTAGCACTGAATCAAAATTTTTACCCATGTTAGTTTCTTTTCTACTATTATCTCTGCTTTATAAACAACAGTGCAATCACTCAAATCATTATTATTTAATGAATTATTACAAAGTCCATCTAGCACTCGTTCATTACCAATGTTCTCCCCTTCAGTAGAGATCTTAGACAATTCGGGTTCTGTTTCATGGCCATCAGGAATCTTAGATTGCCTCTTTTTTCTTTTATTGTAAACCCTACTCTTCACAGTGTTCTTGTGCTCAACAGCAACATCATTACTTGTTTGTACAGTTGTAGGCATATCGAGATCCATGTCAACACCTTCACAGGCTACAACTTCATTACCATTTAGATTACATGGAATTACCTTGACCTTTGTTCCTGCTTCAATATCCATTGTATCTAAGCACTTGGTATCACCTTCTATCACCCTGCCACCATCATGAAGTTTCTTTACCCCAGACCCATCAACCCCCTTAGAAACCTTGGGCTCAACACCAAAAATTTCCTTTTGATCCTGAGCAAAATGCTGCTTTTTTAATTTAGAAATGGCCTTACGATTATCTGTAGGCACTGCAACTTCTGTAGTATGTGCCAAAATATTGACCTACAATAAATAAATGCAATCAAATTAAAAGTCAAGGCATCGCAAACAGGACACATATGATAGTAAATAGAAACCTGTTCAACTTAATCGACTATACAAATAACATTTTAACAAAGTCTTTTATATGCCATCAATCTCGAAAGAAAAACACTATAATTGCAAAACATAATCAAGTTAATTGCTCCAACAATAGACATAGCTTGCACACTGCAATATAAGAATTCAGAGAAAAAAAAAAAAACAATTGCAGAAAACAACATTAGTGCATTAGAATTTAATACTCCGTAATACTTTGTCAGATAAAAGTTAAAAAACTCCTGAGGGCAATCACCAGAAGAACAGAAATATTAAACGATAACCATTACCGACTCTTCACTCTTTTGACTCTAAAATTAAAAAGCTAGACCAAACAAAGGCAGCAAAAAACTAAGTCGCACAAAGTTGGTAAAGACAATGACAAAGACTTGATACCCCACAAATTTAGAGGATCCACCATACCGCGTCAGACATATCACAGTGCAGCTTCGTAACAGAGTCACCACGACCTAATTCTTCATGCAGTCCATAAGCTATGTAGGTCTTTGGCCCCATGTCTGGCATCAAAGTTCCCCTAGGCAATTTGGTAGCTAGATTAAGAACTCCTTTCCGTGGATGTGTATACTCCTTAAATGGCAATGCTCGAATAAATTCAGCACCATGGCGTGGCAGATGCTTTTCAAATTTACTAGTATGTGGCCAATCTTTCAACTTCAGTATCACAGGCCAATCTGAACGATCAAATTGACATTTTGAATACCCTTTGAAGAATTGGTGAACATTGACATCAACCTACAATTTATAAAAGAAGCAAATGTGAGTAACAAGAACAGAGCAAATATGCAACCTATAGTATGAATTTGTAGACATAAAACAATTTATAAACAAGATTAAAACAATGGAGCTTATTCATAAACTAAACAGTTTTAAAAACTATATTCTACTTAGATATAGACAGTACTTAAATACTATCAATATAAAGAATAAAAATAAAAATTCTATTTTGACAGTTAAATCCAAAAAATAAATCAGGACTCTCCCCAGTAAACTGGAGAGTAAATCATTTGAATTTCTGAACAAAAATACAGGCTTGTTAGCCATTCCAACTCAACGACTTTGGATTCTCCTGAATTAATATTGCTTTAAATAACAGGGAGATTAACCCCTAGACAAAAATTATAACAAAAATAGCAACCAAAGAGCCAACAACCCATCATCAAACCAAATATGACTAATCTTTAGCATTATATTTACAGCAAATTCAAGAAATGTGAGAATAAAAAGAAATAAAAAAAAGGTATCAAAAGTTAAATTCTTCCTGAAGCACATACCACAATGACTGGACATCAAAAAAAAAAAAATTCATGCAATATGAAGAAAATGAAAAATAAAAGGCAGTGTAAAGAAAGACAAACATCAACCGGTTTGATCAACAAACAAATTAGTTTATCCTGATAGAAAAATTACCTCACACCAATCCAAGCAATCAATAGCTTTCACATCCAATAACGTGGAATGCTTTGTGTTCTGAATTTGACGAACAGCACGCCACATTACCATAGGTTCCCAACTTAAGCCAGGGGTAGTTTCAAGCACACTCCTAACAATTATTGGTTCTCCACGAGCCCAGTGGAACTGAAAGTGTTTCAAATCACCATGTTTTATATCTCTGGCATCCGGACAATACAAAAAATTGTCACTGGAGCCTTCTCTTGAAGCACATTTCCTCAAAGCACTTCCACATTCACCATTGCATACAGAATCAGAACAAGAGCACTCACTAAGAGTTTGGGGTGAATTCTTATGTCCACACTTTGCTAATGCCTCCTCCGCTTCCTTCACCATTTCAGAAACCCAACCATCTGACAAGATAGAATTTAATTCAAGCAGTGAACCACATCCCCCATGCTCTGATGGGGGACAACTTATACTGCCATTTGCATCTGCCTTCCATTCAAGCTTTCCCTTATTTTTTACAAGTTGTACCCCGGGAGAATTGCTTCCGATAGTCCTCTCTGATCGAGCAAGGGCATCAGTGCCTGAAGTAGTTTTCTCTGATTCAACACAAGGTTTTTGCCTTCTAGTTCTTTTTGAAACAGAAGCAGCTTCACCTCCATTAGTTCCTTCAGATTGTTCACCGTGTAAATATTCAAAACCCCTGTAAACAAAATCCATTACCACCTCTTCACGACCCTGCAGCTGTCCAGCACGAATTTCCCGGCAGCAAGTGAGACACAAATCATATCCACATGCAGGACAGCTTCTAAGAAAATCAGCAATTGAGGTTTTGCAGTTGTCACTGCACACACAACAAAACCGTTGAGGATCAATAAAATCCTTCTTGGACTGAAATGGACATAATGCAAACAACTTACCAGTATACACGCTCATTTTTAGCAACAGATGCTGCTGGGACCATGACTTCAGATATTGACACACCTACAAGGAAAGCAAAACTGAGCAATCTTACAGAACGGTGATCCATCAATAACAAATAATAAAACAAACATCAAGACACATGTTTTGATGGAAAGAATCAAATTTCAAATAGTTCATTATTGATGAAAACAAACAACAAACTGATCTTTGTAATACTAATAATAATACATCTACTGGGATATTGCAATAACCAAAAATCATCCACCAATGAGTAGCTAAGATCAAACACAAATTAAATCCTCCATATGAATATTTTAACGGCACCCACATGTCAGAACATGAGCCAGAATAGCTTTAGGATATGGTAGTTATTGTATACAGAAGGCATGTATTGGTAAGATGCAGCAAGGGGAAGAATAAACATGGGACTTCCAGAAAACAAGGCACATCAAATTTTTATATATTCAAATGAAAAAGAAAGAAAATTAATTCTGGAACATATTTTCTGTCAGCTACTCAACAAAATTGACCTCCATAAAGTAGCCCTAGAGTTAAATCCACAAATACAAGGGTGCTTCTGATAACAGATTGTGAATATTGTTCACACAATTACATGAAAAGGATAAAAAACTATCAACACACATGGAGGCAGTTATGAAGCCAATGTTACAAGAGTAAAAGAATATGATACCCTGAATTTTGGCTTCTATTTCCTTTTCTGTCACCTGTTCTTGGTTAAATTCATTTAAAAATGGAAATATAGTCATCAACGTGTTCATGGCATGCTCAAACTTCTCTTCACATTTAACTTTGAATTCATCCTTCATTTGATTCTGCAAAGAAATAGAGATGTAAATTTAATATGTATTATAAACAGGAAAGAAACAATTAAATGTTAAAGACGAAAAAAGACACCTTAATAGGTCCCTCCATTCTCAAGCATGACTTGCAATTGCAGTTCTGTAGACAGACAGGGCAAGCCTGAGCAATTTGCTCCTCTGTCATTTGTGGATACCTGATTGACATAACAAGCATCAGAACTGTTCCAATATCTTCTATTCAAGTAGAACATAATATAAATAGTAGTCAAGGAACCAACAACCATAAACTGAACATTGTCAAGGATCCCAAGCCCTGGAAAGTTCAAGACAAAAATACTTGCAGCATAATTTAGTGTTACGATTTTTATTGGACCACGTCATAGATACTAAGCAGACTATGCTATAATCTTGCTGGGTGATATCAATTTGACTAAATAGGAACACAGGTCTAAGCAGTCTTAATGATTTTTTTGTTTTTTTTTTTTGAATGAAGTCTTAATGAAAAATTGAAAACAGCCTAAACAACAAATCAGTGAAGTGGAAGCACGGCAATAAAAATAATAACAAAATAATCACACAATTAAGACTCTGTAGAACAGTGTATTCCTCTCATAGAGTCATTGGTAAAGGAATTACCTTTTTGCAACACAAATAAACTACAGCAGATGGTTGACAAATGACAACCAAAACAGGCAAGAACCAAAATTAGTAAAAACACCACATTATCCATGTTACTAAAATGGAGATGCATATTAAAACGCATAAATGTTTAATGGAAAATTAAGGGCTTCACTAACAAAAAAATTATTATTAACAACATAAACACTTAAAATATAGCTATCAAGATGACTCCTTTACGTTAAGCAATGCTCATTAGGCAGGCGTATATGCATAAGCTTTAGAGCAGCAATCAGAAAAGCGCAACATCAATACAAGGAATACAAACCAGTTTCCTATGCAGGGAATGCAAAATCGTTTGGTCTTGCAGTTGGTGCACCTCACAACTCGTCCCTTATCATTCCTCTGGCACTGATGACACATATCCGAATCGATCTTGATTCCCTGACAAACAAATCAAAATGGTATCAATAAAAATGGAGCACTCGAAAGAATAAAAGAACTTGGTTGTTAAATTATGTTACATTCTCATCATAAGCTTTATCTGGCTTCAATTTTTTCTCCGGAATTGCAACAAGAGGCTTGTTCCTACAAGTCCTAGTTTGCCTTCCCGCTCTACTTGTGTCTTTCTCCACATCTTTTTCCTCAGCGACATTTTCACAAAGACTTGGTGTGCCTTTCTCCACCACTTTCTTCTTTCCCCTCTTTCCACGGCTTTGCTTACTCACAACCGCCTCGCCATCATCCCCATCTCCATGCTTCTCATCATCATTTTCACAAACACCTGGTGTGCTCTTCTCTGCCCTTTTCTTCTTCCCACCAATTGGCTTAGTGTCAACCTCTGTACCATTATCCTCCTCTTCTTCTTCTTCAACACCCTTAACAGCAGCCTTATTGCCCTTCGGTTTCCTCCCACCCTTTCGCCGTTTCTTGCTCTTCTGCTCCATCTCATCTTCCTCAAAATACACACGCACTGCATCATCTTCTCCATAATTACTCTTACGCGTACCGCTACGCTTACTCCTCCTAGCCAAACCATTGTCATCACTAACAATTACTTCACTGTAATGGCCTTTCTCCGCATCATCTCGAACCCTTTTCTTCGAAACTTCAGCTTCTTTATCCCCTTCTCCATCTTGCTCCAATTTTTCTGGGGTTTTCTCAGGATTTTCTTCTGCAACTTTTATAATCCTCTTACGACCCCTTTTCTTAGGAACTTTGATTTCAGCATCCTCTTCTCCATCCTTCTCCAATTTTAACTGGTTTTTCTCTGAATTATCTGGGATTTCCTCCTGTTTTTCTTCAGAAATTTCTAAGCTTTTCTCGGATTTTATTGTGTTATCTTCAGGAACTTGTGAGATTTTTCCAGGAATTTCTTCTGCAACTATTCCAATACTCTCACCACCCCTTTTCTCCGGAATCACAGTCTCACTCTTCTCCTCTTTAACTTCCATTACTTTCTCGACGCTTTTCTCTTCACCTTCATCTGGGTCAACTTTCACATTAATTTTTTTCTGGGCACTTTTTACTTCAACTAATTCAGCTTTTTTCTTCTGAAATGCCTTTATAATTGGTTCATCATCTTCATCATCATCATCCTTCTCAGTATTAGAAGGACCCTTTTTAGAATAACCCTTTTTAGCCTTATTCTTCTGATCAAAGTGCATCTGACACAATTTGTCATCATCCAATTTGCGAAGCTTACACCGCCAACCTTTTCCGTCATTTCTATCGCATCTCTCTTCAATCGGAATTACTTCTTCATGATTCTCTTTATCATTATTATCACCATCTTTTCCCTCTAAATCTTCTTTCAATTTAGGTTCAGCAACATCTTCTCCCTCTAAATTTTCTTCCAATTTGGGTTCAGCAACAACCCCATTCTCACCTTTTTCTCCCATTACTACGAAATTGATTCAATTTCGAATTTCAGAAAATAAAAAGGGTATTAGAAATTAGGGTTCATGAAGGAATATTGATGAGAGAGAGAATATTTAGTGTAAAAATAGAAACAAAATTAGGGGAATGAATTCAAAAGGTCCCGCCAAAAGGAGGAGAGAGAAAGCGAAAGAAAGAGAGAGAAAATTAATGAGAATTTTGAAGGTAAAATTCACGCTAAATAGACGGAAGGAAGGAAGGAAAAGAAGAGAGAGAATATCAAGGGTTGTTTCGTTCTTGAATTGTGAAACAGAGAGTTTTTATTGTGGGCTGCAAAAACCAATTCCAGTATCTTGTTTCTCGTTTTTAGGTTCCCCGTAATACCGCCAATGGTAATTTGTTCTCCTCCTATAGTCAGTCAGTTACTCGGGTTCCGATCTGTGGTCGGAAAACAATCAAAATGAACTGTTAGTTATCTAGTAGTCAGTTAGTTGTTTATCTGTCAGTAATAATACAGTTATGACAGTTGGTTTTATAACTGATAGTTAGTTGTCTGAATTTTTTCAGTTATTTAACCGATTATTACGGTTATTGAGCTGTTTGTCAGTTATTTTACAGTTATTTAGCTAACTGATAGTCATCTAACACTCGAAATAGTTAGTTATCTAAATAATCAGTCATTCAATAGTTTATTTATTTTTAAGTACAATATAGTTAATAGAATAACAAAAAACATGTGTAAATGAAGAGGAAGTCATATTTAGAAATATGTAAATTTATCTCAAAATGTTCTGCATGTAAATTACACCCTAATATACAAGATGAAAAAAAAAAATGTAAGTCCATCTTCAATTTACAAGAATCATAACAAAACCTATTTATACAATGACTTTTTTTCAAAACATATACTACATCCGTTAATTTTCATGTGCAACTTTGAAATATTTTATATCTCACTAATAATACCCTAAAGTTGCACATAAGAAATTAACAAAGGTAGTACAATATTACATACGGATCAGTCAAACAACTAGTTGAATCGACCTCTAGATATAATTTTGTTCATTTTACTGAGAATTAAGTAACTGGGCAAAAACTAAAACTTAAGTTTTTATAGGTCAATCAAAGTGTTAACATAGATATTGAGTACCACCTCCGAAACTTTACAAACAAATTATATGGCGGTAAACCAAGATTAGTGTGAATAATTAACTCAGAGTGTACACATTAATATTGAGTACAACCTCCGAAACTTGACAAACAAATTATATGGCAGTAAACCAAGATTAGTGTGAATAAGCACCTTATAGAGAGAGTTCACAAACATGTCTAGTCTCAAGTAAGCTGGCATAGTGAAGAGACTGATAAAGTGATAAAGGATGGTGGGAAGAAGAGCAGAAGATAGACTGTGTTTTCACTGCTCGAGAAGTCTGAATTATTATTACTACAGGTCTACAGTACTGGTAGAAGAGAAATTGTACAATATCCAATTAAAATACTAATTACACTTCACCTCACTGTCTTTCTCAGCAACTTGCCAACTTTAATAATACACGCAATTTTGGAGGGAAAATTTAATGTATCAATTAGAGGGAAACATACTACTACAGTAAAATTAAAAATGATTCAAACTCAAAACTATTCATTTCCTAATCTTCCCCACATATTTTGTTTGTCTAACTTCATACTCTGTAGTCTGTACATAGTATTCTAGACTTCAACAAATAATTATTTATTGTTACTACGATTCTACAAGAGTACAACTCTACCATTTCCAAGGCTATTGTTTTTCCTGCTTAATTCACAACTTCAAGTAACAATAATTACGGAGTACAAAAACATGGGCACATCTACTATAGAATTAACTCAGCAGTACAAAAATTTATTTTTATCTCGGATCAAGTTCACTTTTTGCAAGTAAACATTAAATTAAATCATCATCAAGTTCACCAGATGACGATAAAAAATTTTTACTTTCATTTGCCCATCGCATTGGAATTCAATGGAAAGAGCACAGGCAAAAATATAATCACATAGAATCAAAATGCTGCCCCGTCCTTCGACAGGTGATGCTGGAAGAAACTTCCACAATTCACATCACATTCATGGGGTATGGTATTATGCCACACTGTACTAGGAGAAAATGTAACAGAGTATTGAATTTATTTCAAACTAACTTAGAAGGCCCCTCTGCTTGAAGACATCGAGCATTGCAGTACCCATCTTTGCAGGAGATTCTACCACGGTGGCCCCAGCTTCTCTGAGAGTCTTGATTTTGTCTTGCGCTGTGCCCTTACCACCAGATACAATGGCTGCCATGAAATATTTTTTACGAAAATTCAAACCATTAGAATTGTCAATTTATTATTATCACTAGCCTTGTGTTACAGTAAGCAAAAGCAGAAAATAAGACACCGAACACCCAAACTGAATAATGTGAAACAACAACAGACAAATATATAGTGTCTACTAATACATGAAGTTTAAGCATATCATGAAGTTCTGAGCTGTCCAATATGGAAGCAATAATCAAATCATGATAGCACAAGGTAAACAAGCTAAAATTAAGCAAAATTCTAAAATCATATCATGAAGTTCTGAGCTGTCCAATATGGAAGCAATAATCATATCATGATAGCACAAGGTAAACAAGCAGAAATTAAGCAAAATACTAAAATCAATAACATGGATCAGCAACTAATTGTTACAGAAATCAAGGCAGCTAGCTAAAAATTGCTGTCACAACACATTACCTCCAGCATGACCCATTCGTCGACCAGGTGGTGCCGTTAGCCCAGCAATGAAAGAAACCACAGGCTTTTCAGTTTTACTTTCCTGTTTCAAGCAAAGAACTCACTAAGAGACATAATCGTAACCAGGAAACACATAAGCAAAAAAAGTTTATCTAGAACAAATTTCCCGGCCTAAAGGAACATTAAGTTATTTCTGTCAAAATATAAATCATTGATAGCTTTGCTCAAACTATAATATAAGTACCAATGCCTTCATCCCTTAGGGACTGTGCCATAATTTACTGTCCTTATAAGCTATAACAAATTCTACTACTATTTCCTCTATGCTAAAATACAATGTCACCACTAAATTTATCAATAAGTAGGACATGTAATATGGGGAAAAGAAGCAGATAATTAGCCACAATATCAGATCTTTCAATTCAAAGAAGGATGTAAGCCGTGTAACAATGTTGCCTTTAATTTTTCAATAACACCATTATCACATTGCTAAGTAACGACCATTGTTGACTACAACAGAATATAACATGGCCTGGTCCTATTCCCTAAACCAGTTTAATAAAGGGCTACTAAGATTACACACAGCAAAAATTGGTTTAGATAAGGGGTACTCAGCTGAAAAGAATGAATGCTAATAAAAACACCCATGCAATTATTAAAACAAAATTTATTTTTTCAGAAAATAAGTATAACTCTGTTTACAGAGCAAGAAATGGGTGGACTAAGCCATAAAGCTTTTAGCAGGAAGAACTTTCAATCCAAGGTACATGGTCAAGATGGCTTACCTTAATCACAGCAGCAGCATCCTCTTCGGCAGTTCCCCCTATTTCCCCAATAAGAATAATACCTGCAGTAAAATCAGCAGGAAACATATAAGCAAAGGTACATAAAAACAATCCAAGCATACAAGGATACTTATAACTCCTACTGGTTCATAAAAATAAATAAAAAAAAATAAAAAAGCAATTTTCTAGGCACATTTTCACTCCATAACCCTTTTACTAGGTAAATGTGTCACAATATTTTGATACCAGCTCAGGTTGCAGACAACTCACCACAACCTGGAAGCCCATTCTATTGGAGATTTGGTTGCACAAACTATGAATGTACAAAGGCTACACAAACTAATCAAGCATCCCTTCTCACCCTCTGTCTGGCATGGTTGCAGATATATGACTAACATAAGGTGGAGGAAAATTATAAATATATAAACAAAATGGCAGAACATTTCTCAACAAGTTAAATCTGGAGTCCACTACAGATGGGATGAAGAAGTTGTGAAGGAAATTGAAGGATGACATAACTGTATTCTTACTTGTGAAGTTGAAGAGGGAATTCTTTCTTCAAACAGAAACAAGCAATAGCATCGCAAGCCAATACCATACTTCCAAAGTTATATAATGTCTGCCACCCATCAATAAGTCACTATACCTCCTATTACCCATCAGATACAGCCAAATAAAACATTGCAGAATCTTCATTCTCATGTACACCAGCATACACAAAACAAATACTTCCTCTATTCTCCTAATATTGCAACAGGAGGGAAGACACAGAATTTAAGATGAGGAGAGAGAGAGAGAGAGAGAGAGAGAGAGAGAGAGAGAGAGAGAGAGAGAAATAAAGATAGGGACCCCTGTTATGAGGGGAGCAATAGAGAGAAATAAAGATAGGGACCCATGTTATGTGGAGAGAGATAGAGAGAAAGCATGTGTATAAATGGCAATGTTGCAACATTTGTAAAACTTCCTAAAATGGTAATTGTTGCAATATTAGGGGAACGAAGGAAGTGTAATTAAGTGGGATTTTAGTAAAACCAGTAATCCAGTATCATAAACTGCACAGTCATCTGATCTTCCACAAAATTCTGAGTACTATAGCCATAGTTCTAGGAAGGTCAGGGGTCAAAATATGATGAGTCATATAGTAATTTGTTCTTTTCCAATCAAAATCTACAACAAGTGAATTCATTTAGTCACTAATCCATCAGATGGAAAACCAATCAGTCCTCTAATGTTTAGCAATCACAAAAGTAAATCAAGCCACTAGAGCAGAAGTATAATCAATTACTGAAAGGGTAACGAAAAGCATTTTAAGAAAGACAAAGTCCACCTTCAGTCTGAGGGTCATTAATGAACTTCTCAATGCAATCAACAAAGTTGGTCCCATTGAAAGGGTCCCCACCAATTCCTACAACAGTGGATTGCCCAAGGCCAACAGCAGTTGTTTGGAAAACCTACATCACAACACCAAGTATAAATTGATAGGCAGATTAAAGTTCTATAAACAAATACTACAGAGAAATATAATTTTATCATGACTTCAAAATATAACACTCATATTCACAATTTCAACTATAAATTAGTGCAAAGATGTAATTAATAAATTAGTAATAAACCAATAAGCTGAGACAGTCAATAATAACAATCATTTAGTTGGTATTGACATTTTGTGATACCACAGCAGCAGCATCCAGTGAAATCCTACATTCATGGTATAATGGAATAGAAGATAGGCAAAGAACTCAGAAATAAATAGATATTTTGAAAGTACAACTTGAAAGCAAAATATAGAAGGTAAG